TTATGCTCCAACAAGCCGCAAAATTGGGCTGTCGTAGTTTTGTGACGCCTAGTGATGTTGTGAATGGCATTTATAAGCTCAATTTAGCCTTCGTCGCCAATATGTTTAACAATTACCCTGGATTAGATAAGCCAAAAAGCAACATTGAAGGTTTAGAATCTTTAGAGGAGACGCGAGAGGAAAAGACCTATAGAAATTGGATGAACTCAATGGGCGTTTCGCCACATGTTAATTGGCTCTACTCAGATCTCGCTGATGGTCTGGTGATCTTCCAATTGTACGATATTATCAAGCCAGGCACTGTAAATTGGAATAAAGTGCACAAGAAATTCACAAAACTTCGAAAGTTTATGGAGGCATTAGAGAACTGCAATTACGCTGTCGAGTTAGGTAAACAGATGAATTTCTCGCTTGTGGGCATCGCCGGAAAGGATATTAATGATGGAAATGCAACCTTAACGTTGGCCTTGATATGGCAGTTGATGAGATCATATACGTTGTCGATTCTGACGTCTCTAGCAGGAACTCAGGGAAGTACTGTAGAGAAAGAAATCATTCAATGGGTAAATTCTAAACTCCAGGCAGCTGGAAAAAGCAGTATCAAAGGATTCCAGGATTATTCAATAGCGGATGGCAAAGTCGTCCTCGATCTCATCGAAGCAATCAAACCCGGCTCGGTTAATTACAATCTCGTTAAGGATGGTGGAACTGAACATGTAAGATTTTCGCTTTTATTTCTCGATTTTTGAGAGCTTGTGTTCTCAATTAATGTCAAAGTTAATTTGATTTGTATTGCAATAACTACTTTTATAGGTATGATCAATCACATTTATACTATGCTTACCTTTATCTCACGTTATATCATTGATATCGAGCTTTGTCGGCCTTAATTCATAATGCAAGTTAATTAAACCTTGCAAAACTTTAAATTGCACGAAAATAATTTTGATAAATTTGAATCAAATATTGTTGAAATTTTTTTTTTAATTTTAAAGAAGATACTGATCATATTCTGAAAGAAGGAAATAAGACCTCAAAAACTTTTGCAGATTTCTATTTTTTTATGACTTATAGTATCGATAAAAATTTAATGAATATATATCCAAGTCAAACTCAAATTTTTGTTTTGATCGATAAAATTAATCTGTAATTGCAAAGTTCTTAGCAAACCAAACCCTCATTACATATATGTTAGTAGAAAAACACTTGTCCCTACTAATTATCTAGCATATTCAAATGATCTATACTCACAAATTGTTTCCTTCAATCTTCAAATATCTGTCTCCGTGCCTGTAGGTATCAGCCATAATTAATGTTTAATAAATTGGAAATTTTTCTCCCATATTGCTCACGGAAATTCAAAGCTGAAAGTTTCAATTACACGAAAGTGTGGAACATTCTAGTCTAGATGAATCAATCCCTCTTAACGCCTTATCGTTGGTATGACTAATCAACAACTATCTTTTTTTTTTTTGTTACACAGGAGAATCTGGACAATGCGAAGTACGCGATATCTTTGGCGCGAAAGTGCGGTGCGCGTGTCTATGCGTTACCGGAAGACATTACCGAGGTGAAGCCAAAGATGGTGATGACGGTATTTGCCTGCCTGATGGCGATGGACTACATGCCGAATATGGACTCTGTGAAAAATCAACAGAACAACGTAAATAACGGCCAATAATGTCGGCATCAATTCGTCATCGTGTTGTTCTACCTAACGCGTGCCGTTTATCTTTTGTATACAAGAACTTTTGATCGGATTGCGCCGCACACGCTTCTTCCATGAGCGTAATATTTGTACATACGTAGATTAAGTTAATTTGTTTTTGAAGAGAATATTAGGGATTACTACTGCTAGGAAAAATACATGAAATGAGAAGGGGAACTCCTTTGGAATTTGACGAAATATCATTTGATCCCTGTTTGTTAAACGAACGAAATACACATATAACAAGGAATGCTAAGATCATATTTGGTATAAGAAATTACTATAAAGTTATTACTATAAAGTCTGGATATTTTTTGATTAAAACGTACGAATATGTCCATATAGTCAATTAAATGTATGTGCGATATAAGATTTCCAAATTTAAAATAATTTTTAAGTAGACTATTATAAAATGGCGATAATAACTTTGATCTAAGTATTGAAGATTTACGGTATCAAATGCCGATATTTCTCGTGCCAGAAAGTGTATTTACTTACAAGATAAGAAAAGTACAGATTATTATGTGTAAGTCGCTTTTGAATCGGCACTATTTATTCTAAACACTTTTCTACTACGTGCGACTTATCATATCTTACTGTGCAAAGTGGAATTCTCCTTCTCCATTGTTTATGCAATCATATCATTCGTTTTTACATTATACATATACCACAACATCAGGTTTGTATAAATCGATTTTACATCGAGTACTCAAGTGAAACAAGTAGAAAACATGCTAGAAACCATTGAGAAATATTCAAAGCGTATACTCAGAATGTACAGGGTATACTGGCATTAATTTCAACAATTGATTTTTTGGAAAAATTTTAATTTTGATTTTGTTAGCAAGAGCATTGATCATTGAATCTTAAAATTATTGCAAAATGATAATTTTTGCGAGTTTTTCTCTTCAAAGAAAAAAACTTAATTTTTTTGTCAAGAAATTAAAGTTTTGTACTATTCTATATACATTTTATGTATTGTAGATAAATCAACTTGTTTTGCAAATACGTGCTACATAGAATAATTTAACATTTAAATTACATAGTACAGTCATAAATATATACTTAACACGAAATACACACATACGTATTTGATAATCTAGATGTAAGAGATTTGTGATCTATTTAAATGGTTATTTTATACACTCGGTGATTCACAGTATTCAATCAGAAGGTTATAAGTCATAACGGTCTAAAGCTTTTTGATTGACTATTTTTCTTGCACATTAATATTGCATGAATGAATTTTATATCCAGCGTAATTTATAATGACTGTACAAATTATATACTTTATATTTCTTTCTACAATATATACACGATAATATCAAGAAACACTTTTTATACATCTTGTCTGGCTATAACAAGAATTAATTCCTGAAATAGGAATAAGAAGGCCTTTTGATACTTTTTTCATGAAATCTGCTCTCTCACTAGCGTGGCAATAGCTTCTATCGTCATTAACATATTCAACATAATGCATATGCGAAAGGTATTAGTCGACGACTGATCATATACTTTGTGAATGGACGACAATGAATAATAATTATGTTGACGCACAAAAGTAATTGTAATCGTGCCATTATAAGTATTGAAGTTTAAAACTGATTCTGATAATTCAATATTTACAATAGATTTATAATCGATTCGAATCATAACATACTTATGAATCTAAAACAATATTCGTGATTATTATCTGTGAATGAAACAGTTAAAAAACGCAAATTTTTTTCGAGCTTGCGTATTTTTGCAATGTGTTATTGTTATACGCAACGTATATAAATATATATAGATTCAGAAATTAATTGTTTTAAAGAAATTAGTATTCCTTTTCTAATCAAGTTTAGTCGCAAGATTTGTTATTGATTAAAGTTTTTTTAGAAGCAAACACATGTGAAATAAGACTGCAATATGAATACACAATAAATAACAAAAAGGCCTTATCGGTCTGAGCTGGATTGAGCTAGAAATATTAATAATTTATTTTTACATCATTTAATTCAGCATTGAAAACATAAAAATGCATTTTTATAAATACTATATATTTCCGTATAAATTTATATAGAACTGAATATGTATATAAATTCATACCGAAATATTGTTTAAGCATTATAATATTCAGCTCAGAAATATTTTAGGACGAACTCCATTTGTATTTGTATTGCGTAATTATTTTTGTGCATTAAATTTTAAAAATTATTGCAAAGGATGCATATTAGAGGTTTATTAAAAATTTAGCATGCTTCTTGCATTTACAATTGTGTAGTTGACTTAGATTACGACGAATCAACTGTTAATTATAACGGACGCTAAGTGTAATTATGTTAGAAGATATGAGAAATTATCTACAATGAATTAAGTGCAATGCATGTTATCGCGATTTGCATAAATTACTTCTATTCTCCAAATTAGTTTTTTGTGGATAAATTCATTGCCTAAAAGTATTAAAATTCATTAATGTCAAGGTTGCATTATCATTTCAAGAGAATACGAAGTACATGTGGATATAATTACAATGCATTCATATGTAAATACGGAAAAAATTGGGTTAAAGCTCAAAAGTGAAATTTAATGTGACTCAAATTTGAAACACGTTTATATTAGCTCTGTGTGTGATCACGCGATTCAAAAATTCTCAAGGGCCATTTGCAATTTGACTAATTAGAATTAAATATCGCAATCATTGAATAATTCTCAATTATGATGATTATTGTATACGTATACATTTCATACATAGACACATACGCGCGTATACACATATATACACGCACATTCCATATTGTGTGTGTACGTGAACATGCGTCCATCATTCTAGTTATAATTTAATGTATGCGTAACATAAATAAAAAAATTTACTATGTGCATTTACTATTTACTAAATTTTATTGCATTACTGTTAACTGTAATAGTAATAATACGTAATGAAATTTTTAAAGAAATAATTTTAAGAACATTTGATTAAATCGAATTATTTTCTGTCTATTTTATTATTGTATACATATATACATATTTCTATAATAAGCTTTTACTTTTTACATTGTTTTACTCTTTTATTATATAAATAATTAGAGTTCGACCGAAACTTTTATCGAAACTGGAAACTAACATTTATTACGTATCAGTTTTGACTGAAACACCTCATATAGCTCTTCTTTATAAATATTAATTTTGATATGTGTAATTGTTTCAATAATTAAATTATGATGTTTATAAAGAAGAAATACTTATATTCTTTAGCCAAAATTGACATACAATCGATATTTCAGTTTTTGATTTCGATTGAAATTTAATTATTATTTCAATAAATTATGATATTTATGAAGAAAAAGTATATGATATATATGGGCATGTCTATACATATGGCCTTTATAGAATTCCTATTTTTTAATTTTGATTTCGGTTTCGATTGAAATTGACATGTAATCGAGTGTTTCGGTTCAGTTTCGGCAAAAGTTTCGGTCAGACTTTATAAATAATATACGTATAGTAAATTTGAATATCTATCATTTTATATAATAGGTTTGCATTTCTAGAGATTTTTATTATTTTCTTTTAGAATTAACTTAATTGTATTCATAACATTAGCATTGTTAATAATTATTATTAATAGGAAGTAGGAATACTTCTTATGTCATGATTAGCAAGTATCTTGGTCTCACCCGGGTTCACGATCGGAATCGGATCTCTCGCGGCAGGCTGAATGTCTTCCAAGATTATTGTTGTAATTTCGATTATATTATATGTCTTGTAGTTTGAAACCGATGTACCCTTCCTTGTTGTTGATGAACTAAAACTCGTTTCACCGATTTCCATATGACTAATCATAATATTCTAAAAAAATGACATGTACAGATTAATAATAATTTCTGATCTTACGCTTCTTTTCGAGCACGAAGTATTAGCCAAAAATTGATACAAAAATAAATTTAATTTGTTAAAAGTAATCATAAAAAACGTATCCAAACAATATAAAATTTAAAATTATGATATAAGACGTCTTTAAGTTGTCTTAGATGCAAAAGACGTTTTATGATCATATTTTAGACACTTTTTGTTATCTTAAAAACAGACTATTCACAATATTGTCGTGGAACTTACTAAATCCGCTTGCAAGCGTTGATGGACAATCGTATCACCATATTTGCCAAAATAATTGTCTGCGTAGCAGCTGCAATGATTAAGATTCGTCTGCTTATTGATGATAAGAGTCTCTGTGGAAGTAATATGCAATTTCGGTGGTAATAGTTTTAATCGAAATCTTGTCTCGTTCGGATTTTCAGCCCCAGAATGATAATACACATCGAAGGTGGCGTTGCATCGGCCTATGGTAGATGCGGTTTCACCTTCAAATGTGCCATCCCCGATATTATTAAAATTGTCGCCGGGATGCAGCTGCTCGGCCACTATCTTCAAAATGTTAAGGTCATAGGTCCGCGTCAGTTGGCTTGTGATGATATTCTCGATGCCTTTTTCATCAAAAAGTAGCTCGATAGGCGCTTCAGTGATATTTTTGCGTCGGTTCATTCGGGTATTGTCTTCCTCGCCGATCATACCAAAATCAAAGCCATCGACGTACCTAAGGCTACAGATCAGAGTATTATTCCTCTTCGGGATGCAATGCAACCGAGAGGTGATACGATAGCCGGACGGATTACCGCATGCTGAACGAGAACACTGCGGTGTCCCTGTCATGTTCATGTGAACAGTGAAGATGTACTCTGGTCCATACCGCCACGCACCATCCTCGATAGGAAGTTGCACGGCTAAAGAATTAAAGAAGAGAATTAAAGAATTTTTATGAGGCAATTTATAGAACATTATCACTCTTATCGTTAGGTCATTAAGTTAGATTATTAATTATCGCAACTTTATATTTTATTTGTAACATTTATTATCTTTTTATTGAAAGACGTACACTATAAAAAATTTTTTTTTAACGTTATACACACGATTAAGTCATTCGTGTCCTGTGTGTACTTTTTTAGAAACTAAAAACACCTAACTAAATGGTCCCATGTTTTACTTTTTTTTTTTAAATATACAACTTTATAAAAATATTTTCTGAAGTATATGTAAGAATCATTTAATTGTTTTATACTCGTAAAAGTAATGAAAATTAACCTGAGACACAAACGATTTATCATATGTAACAAAAGTCCGGAAAATCATCGTGTGTATTAAAAGTTAATTTTACGAAAGAGAAGGAACATAATTTATAAAAAAACATGTAATTTATGATGATATGTTAATTTATGAACAGTTGACTTACCTAAAAAGAATGGTATAAATGTTGCAACGATCATATCACCGTATATATAAATCGTGGTTTGACGCCACTCTTAATCTTGAAAGCGCTTTTATACTGTCTTTACATCGTTAAGGACATTCTTATTATGTAATTCATTTTAATTCACCCGACGCATCAGCGCCAATTATATTAGAAGACTTCGTGGAAATGTAATCCACTTGCTTTTGACCTTTAACATTCTGCTACAATTGCATATTTCCTAGAGAAGACTAAAATTTTGTGCGTTACAATTAAAATTTTATGCATTACTTAGGTTCAAAGTTTTAAACGAGAGTATATCCAAAATTCATTGCAAGAAATATTGTCCTCTTATGAAATTTCCATGACGGAACTGTATGATATAGTTACTTACCTCGGATATAAATTATTCATTAACCTGCCTCTGAAAATATTGAAAGCTTATAGCTTTTTTCTGATGATGAAGTTAATCGACGGATAAGCTTAATTGGCGTTGGTAAAACTAGCCCTTAAAATCTTTAATTATATATAATATTCTCTCTTTCTTTCTCTCCTCTGCCTCCCCCCCTCCTTCAGAAAATATACTCTCCAGAATTTTAAGTTAAAACGAATTAGTAGATTAGAAATGGTAGCGTGTGGATAAAAAGAGTTAAGGGATCAAAGACGGAAAGAAGAACTTAATTTTATATACAAGATACTGTTTATTTGATTCTGTTTACAGTTTGATAATCTTAATTTGATTAAATATTTATATAATACCAGCAAATTATATAGCTTGCCTGCAATATGTAACGTAATATATAGATATATATTATCAGAGACAATATATAGATATATATATTGTCGCTTTAATTTATAAAATTGCTTGGTATATCATTGTTAGTATTTAAATCGATCAGTTCGGGGTAGGACAGAGTCGGAAGTTCATTTGGCGCAGGCTCAATGCTGTTTAGATTAATCTGTATTACTTCTTTAAACGATAACGTCCCCATTTCGGATTCTTCAGTCGGAAATCTGACTATTCCATCGAATTCAGTGAAGGTTTCGAATTTGTTTGAATTGATCTGTATTTTGCTAACAAATCTCCTCTGCAAAAAAGTACAAGGCAAAAATTTATATATGTACACAGATAAAGG